CTCCCTAATGTTAACTTAATTTCGAATTCAAACATGGACTCGCCAAACTCAAATGGAATCGAAGAACGCGCGAGAATTTTTACAAAAGTTTTCCATCTCCCTCCAAAGAAGAAGCTCCAAATTTGTTTAAAAAGAAAACAAATGAAAATGTTTTATCTAAATTAATTAATTAAAATGTTACAAAACAATTAATTTAGTAACGTTTAAATAATTAATCAAAACATAAATAAAAAGTTTTCATTAAAACAATAAAATATAAGCCATAATAAAATGATATTACTTATTTTTCTTTGTCATTCCCAACAACAACCTTAAAAATGAGGAGGTCGAGAGATAAAAGAATTAAAAAATTAAAAGAGTGAAAAATTAATGGAGAGATATAAAGAGAAGTACGACATGGAGCAAACGAGAGAGTTAACCGAGAGTTAGATATAGGTATAATGTAAAAGAGTTGCATAAATAATAGAGAAAAAAAGATAGACAAAGAGAGTATCGAGTTTAACAACGTTCAAGACCTAGAGCTTAAGCTAAGATTTAGAACCTAGATTCAAAACGCTTTGATATTTATTTTCGTATCTTTTGATCATCTAAACATATCATTTCTTACGTCATGAGTTATTTTTATCTGGATTAAAAATTGTTCTGGCACAAACTTAGATTGTTCGTTGCTCTTGAACAATGTCTAACCACTTGAACTTTTGTTTAAGTTAACTAATAAATTATATTTTTAGCCTTTATCCCTGTGGTGGATATTTTGTTTCAATTAGTTGTTGAATGTGGGAGATATAAGATTAAGAGTACCGGTCAGTTACCTATATGTCATATCCAAATTATTGCTTATAGTATGGCTAGAGATTACGACTAGATGGTAGAGTCTAAAAAAAGTTGACATATCGAATTCAAAAGTGATGGAAGATTGAGAAATAATCTCAAAATTCGAAGGACGACGAAAATTGAAATATCTAAAAGCGTAAAGACCCGAACCCTAAATAACCTTTTAAAAAAAGGTTATAAGTCATTGAGGGGTGTCCTACATATAGTCAAGTCAAGATGACCTTATTTGGTTGATATATAAAATAATTGGATTCTATGGGTTTTATCATTAAGAATGTGGAGCCTTGCCTATAGCCTATAAAATTTCCTCCCTATTTAATCAATCACACAACCATAATTCACTCTCTTATTTTCTTTAACCCCATCAATCAAATTGACATCTTGGACATTTCTAGTACTCTAAGCGGGGTGGAGACTAAACCCGTTGACGTTTTCATCGATAATATATATCTTAATCAATTGAGTTATGTTTAAGTCGACAAAAGTATTTCAATAGTTGAAATATATGTCTAGTTGGTTATTTTTCAAAGATCCAAAAAGTTAACTTTATATTAAATTACATATTTCAAGAGATACGTCTTGTCCCAACTCATCCTACGTCATGGCTAATTTCTTGATGTTTGTTATTCCCCCTTACTTGAAGAAATTCTTGCGATCCGAGAAGGGGTGAGGCTGGAAGTTTTCTGTATCAAGGTTGTTTCCGATTGCTTGGAGGCCATAAAGTTGCTGACAGGGTATCGTAAGGAGACTAAGGTTTACCACTCAACCCAAAAGTTGATGGTTGGATAAATTTAATTCATTTATATGGATTCTAACATTGTCAAATGTAATTCGGGTGGTATCTGTTAAGGATCCCACATTGTCAATTGACATGGATTATTCTTGACATTGTCAATTGATTTTAAGATGTAACTCATGAATATTAATAGTATTTGATTTCTAATAATAAGATTCTGTTCTTTGCATTTCGATAGGTGAGTATGTCACCGATGATATCTTATCAATGAAATCTAACGAACCGATTAACAAAATTCATCTCTTTCAAGTAGTATGTCACGTATCTAACACATAAGTTTTCTATAGCGAATTTTAACAAATTTTTTATTCTTTTACCAAATGGTTTAGTAAGAATTTTTAATATTGAAAATTAAGTACCCTTCCCTTTCATATATTTAAGCCAAATTATGTTGGAGTCAAATAACTTTCCCTATCAATCAATCAAATGACAGCTAAATTTATCACCCAGAAAAAATGATAGCTAAATTTATGGGCTTTGATTAGATAAAACCTTTCTTAAATTCTTAATAGTCATTTTCAACTCTTCAATTAATTAAAATTTTCTTAAATCTAAGCTTTTAGTCATGAAATGATTATTTGAATATAGGTTTACATACTAATTGAGTCCTTTAATGCATTTTTGTTCGTACTTTCAAAACATCTATTTTGGTCATTGTACTTTGAAATTTTATTAAAATCACTGTACTTTTGAAACGTCTATATTTTGTCTCTATACTTTAAAAAATTGTCCTTTCATTTTCATTTTTATCTTATTTCTTTCGATCATATATAATTTAACACAACAATCCACTCACTAGATTTCTTGAAATGTAGCAGTAAATTAATTTTGTATTAGAGAGTTTTCATTATATATAAAATTTGTGTTACAAATTTTCAAATAGAGATAAAATTGGTCACTTTTTAAAGTATAAAGATTAAAATGAACAAAAATTGAAAGTACGCATGGACCAAAATTAACGGTTTGACTGCATCAATGAACTTATAAATTTTATTTTATATTAAAATAAATAAAGAAAATTGTATTAGTATATTATAGGATTGGTGATATCTAATCATATAGTTATATCATTATCAATTGTTATATCATTATTATATCATGATTGTATCGTCCAGAAAGAGGGAATCAAGTGACTCTACTCTTTTTTTTTTCCACTTGGGAAGTATATTGACCGATATTATCGCAGAAAAGATGTTATGGATCAATTTTTTTAAAATAAATCAAAATTAGAAATAAATGAAGTTTTTTGAAACATCGGGAAGACTCATTTTATTATTTATACGATTAAATTTACTCTAATTAGTAAGAGCTCAACGAAACGATCCAGATGAGCTAAAGTCAAAAATACTGAGACGAAAGATTAAAATAGTATTTAAACCTCTAAGAAATGAATCGTTATGCTTTAACCCTCAACTATATAACCTATTAGACTTATTTTGATAGTGATTTTCAGTTAATTTTTTAAACTAAAATATACTAATCTATGTACTTGGCCTCTTATAGCGTTTTGTTTGATCCATCATACTTTTATTTGTATTAAATTAGTTTCTATACTTCCATAAATTTAATTATTAAATCTATTTTCATGAAAATTTTGATCTTAAAAATAAAAAATTAAAAGTTAACAACCTAAGTATGAAATATAAGCAAGTAAATAAGTAAATAAGCTAGCATGCTCATTTGTGTGCCTCAATTATAACAAAATGTTCACTCTTATGAACTCAATCATTGTAATTTTTTAACCACAAACAAAAAGAATTAAAATATATATATATATATATATAATGACCCAAATTTTATAAGATTCGAAGAGTATGTTAGATGCACAATCAATTATTTAACGTATTTCGATAAGAACCAACTAGCTCTATGTGGTATTTTACTATAAACCACGAACGCATCTCTTTTGATTCTTCAAAATTCCACTCAATTTCACTTGAGCTTTACCTGCTCGTGAATCACTCAAATTTGTGTTCATATACAGTGACAATTGTCCTGCATAAACTCGTTATAATGAAAAAGTCAACTAGTCATTCCAACAACCACATTTTTAGTTTATCAAGTTGAACCAGTTAAGATACATATCTTCGACCAACTACTTTGGTGAGTCACACATTTCCGTTGATTGATGCAAGTTTCTTTTCTATGTGATTTAATGAAGATCGAAGGTAGACAAGAAAAGACAAAGTCCTTGTATAATCAACACAAAAATCTAGGGAAATGATATGTTGGTGGCTTTTGCAAGATGATTACCAAAATCAAGCAATCAAGGACAGATTAAACACTAAATTAGGAAAACTTAAGACTTGCAAGCAATTGTTTTTTGTGCCAAATCTTAAAGAATCTTTGGTGGGTTTGTTGGGAATGGCTCAATTTTGTTGATTTTATTAGTGGATGCAATGACTCATCATAGGCCAAACCTTGGAAGAGGAAATATTTTTAAAAAAATAAAGCAAGTCTAATCCCCAACATTTATCCTTCTACCTCTAAAAAGAATGATAATTTTTTATTTGATTAATAATTGTATAAACGGAAGATATTTTTGCCATTTATATCAAGCTCCAACTTCTTTCGTACATACGTGTTCTCTCGAGAAGCACGTACTAAAATAAGAGGTAAAATTTAATTAGTATACTAAAAAATCTATTACTATAGATCTCATACAACTCCCATGTACTAAAAAATCTATAGCTCCAATTCCTACGAAAATGTCGTTTCATTTACCTGTACATGTTTGAATAGTCTCGACTAATCGTTTCATTCTTTGATAAGAACCAATACAATCTTTATGAGGTTCCCCCTTCGAATAAAACTCAATGAGATCTAAAGAAATCATGTCTTCGTCCATAGAATCCCACTTTTGTTCGGAAGAGCTTTGTGGAGTTTCCTTTTCCTCCACCAAAATTAAATTAATTTAATTGTGACAAAAGACGAAATACTTTCATTGAAATAACGATTTAGTCTCTGATCTTCAATATGTGACAATTTAGATTTGACCCTATAATTTAAAATTCACAACAATTTGATAAGAGAGACACGTCGTGACTCAAAAGTCAACATTTGGAACATTTGCCAAATTTATGTCTCAATGCTCGAAAGTTGAAAATTGAAATTCTTCACATTTGGCCTGAAAACACAACTTTTCTTAACATAATTTTCAAATAGTATATAGAGAATGACCTAAAAAAAGGAACAAACATTCATTTCTGAATCCTTCCAATTTTGAATGACCTAACAGGAACACATGAAGCATGCCTGTTTCTTCATCCAATTCTCAACCCAACAACTTTCCTTAAGAATTATGAAGAAAAATCATCGATAAGTTCGAGGAGACAAAATTCGATTCGAGATCGTACCCAAGCATCCACAATTAACATCTGAAATATTGCAGTGCAGAATTTGAATGTCCTCCTGCATCAATTAGAATGTCACCAAGTATATAAATAAGCATCAAGTCCAGAAACTGAAGATAAAACATGTGATCTTAAGAGTCAGTACCAACGATTTCTAAACAGAAGATACTAGAGCCTACAAGTTACAACCAAGTTAGTTAACACAGGAGGGGCGGGACGGGGGCGGGAAAATATTAATAAATCCAAACCAGACTGCACATTATTTTGTTGTATATTGACAATAACCTGTAATTATAACCTACAATCTGAAGTTCAGAAATATACTATCCGTTAAACGGCGTGGATTGGACTGCCACCAGAATTCATGTTTTCGCTGCCAGAAGCTGGATTTGCATGGAAAGCAGATCGTCTAGACGACCCCTCGAGCAGTTGCAGAGAGAGAGAAGAGGGGCCAGCATGACCAATAGATTCTCCCAGACTGAGTTTTGACATGCCAATCAGCTCATCAACATTGAGGGGACTCTTTGAATGCACAGCTGTGGGCTTAAGAACCTCATGAGTCTCCTCCTTATTAGTGGTTTCTGCACTGTATTCCGAGTAAAACGGAATAGAAAACGGAAAGAATGGTGCAACATATGCAGGGTACACCACTGGATAAACGCATTGGGGACCATCTGAATTTGGAGGTGCTGGTTCCCCATCATTCGAATTGGTGGAATCCATTGATTCGCATTCTTCGTCCACAGTAGGAGGTGTAGGCAATGGGTTATTGCTTTGTGTTTCACCAGCATGTGAACTGTTGACAGATAGGAAGTCTTGCTGCACAATTGAAGTCTCAACAGGCTGCAGAGAAATTGAGAAAATTGGCAAGATAAAATCAATAATTGCTATGAAAAAGGGTAAAAATAACAAGGCTAATAACATTACTAAATTGACACATATGCATAAAACAGAAAAGTAAGCAAATTTATTCAAAATTTTCACAAATGAAACGGGCAAAGGTAATCTGCAGAAGACTGTGTGCTACTAAAACTGGAGACCAGATGAACTGTACAGCTAGAACGTTTGGATTTTAGTAGAGAGTAATAGCATCCCTGTGATTATGAAAGATATAAAAGACGGAAACATGTATGCATTTATGAATGGAATGGAATGGAATGGATGGAGAGAACGAACTTCGTCTGCGACAATATCAAACAAACTGGAGCGCCTCTTTCTTCTTGATACATTGGTCTGCCTTATGAAATATTTTTGGGCATGGCTGGCCACTTGAGTAGGTGTCCTAGATATAACGTAATTACGTGCTATCCCACGCCAGTCTCCTTTTCCAAGTTTCTGTAATCCAAGTAAGAACATCCTATGCTCCTCCTCAGTCCATGGAACACCTGCCCATTACCAAACACACATATGAATCTAATAAAAGATCAACTGATTCTTACTGACTGATCGTTCTCACTCAAATTCTAACTTTCACTACAGAAATTTTCTCTCAAGTTCTCAACATTGTTTATTTTTAGTGATAGCTCTACTAGAAAAAAGTTAATTGGTGTAAAAATATCCTACTCCTAGTTACCTATTTCCAAGGGAAAAAAAATATAAGAATATTTTGTAGTCCATGCAAAAAAAGTATGAACAAAATTATATTCAAATTTAAGAAATTGAAAGAAAACCTATATGAATGGTTGTCCTCTCGAAATAACACAGAAAAATAGAAGTTCCAGAATTCATCGTCACCTCCCCTCTATTTCTCATAATCTTTCTTTCTTTTGTAGATTAAATACATACTATATAGTTCCTTGATTCCTACTTTTAGAATATAATTATCACAAGTACATAAACCGGCCTATTTTGAGAGAATTGTTCATTAACATGGAGAGGGAATAAAAATATCTCAAAATACTGTGTTTGGAAGTGAATTTTGAAAATATAACAAATATGTTTAGTAGAATCCATTTTGAGCAAAGATAGAGGGAGGATGCTCTGAAAGAGAGATCACCGCATTCTATACTTATGAACATGGAATAGGCTGTTTTACTAGATAATACGAGATTCTATTTTTCAGAAAACCACCACTCTATGCTTATGAACATGGAATTCAATGGATATGTTTTCAGAAGTTGGATTCAATGGATTGATGTTTTTTGGAAATCATTTCCGAAAACGAGCAACCACACGTGAGTTTATCATTTTCATAATATCCATTGTTTCCAAAAACATAAAAGGGAAATCGATTAGGTACCAAACAACTCCCAAAGCCTATCCTAGCCAAACAGTTCAAAATTTTCCTCTTAACTTTTGTGAGTCCATATCCATCGTTGAAATTCTCTACTTAGATTCCTTCAAATCATTCAAGAATAATACATAGAACCGATTTTGATTAGAGAGGAAAAAGAAACGTAATCATTCTTCTTATCAAATATCATCTTCCACTCCTGCTCTAATCGTTAAGCAACAGTCACTAATGAAAAAGAATCCAAAAAATGAGCATGCGAAGTCCAGCAAACACCAAGATTCAAGAATCAAATAAGAACGGCAAATTCAAATCAGAAATGAACGCATAATAATCTCCCGAACCTTTCTTCCTCTCACGGCAACTCGAAGACGAGCCAGGAACGAAATCCTCAGACGCGTAGCCATCCGCCGCAACGCCGTGCTCCGGAGTCTCCCCGGGGGAGGCCGGAGTATTCGACCCGCCCTGCAGAGCACCCGACCCGGATCCGGCATAGTGACTCAGATTCCCCATGCTAGCACTCTT